AATTGGGAAGGGATGCTGGATAAGGTGTTAGCCAAGTTGTCTAAATGGAATTGGCTATTACCTGAACTATCCTATAGGGGTAGAGTCCTGGTTATAAACAATTTGGCTGCCTCTATGCTATGGCACAAGCTGAATGTGCTAGAGCCACCTGATAAACTGATCAAGGATATACAGAGAAAGTTGGTGGACTTCTTTTGGTCAGGCCAGCACTGGATTCCTGGGCCTGCTTTGTATTTGTCAACCCAAGGAGGAGGACAAGGCCTTGTAGACATCAGAAGTCGGATCAATACTTTTCGTTTACAAGCTTTACAGAGACTATTGTATGTAGAAGAGCTCGAGTGGAGTAATGTGGCATGTGTTTTGCTGAGAAGGACATCAAGTCTTGGATATGATAAACATTTGTTTTTAATTAGAATAAATGAACTGGACTTGAGTAATCTGACTTCTTTCTATCGCTCCATGCTACAAGCGTGGAATATGACTTTTTCTGTAAGCAGAGGATCTGAACAATTACAAGAATGGATTATGGAGGAACCTTTGTTTCACAATTCATTTATTCAGACCAAATGTTTGTCTTCAGGAAGTTTGAGAAACTGTCTGATTAGAGCTGGATGTACTAAAGTTAAGAATCTTAGAGATGCCAATGGGTGGAAAACTGAGGAATCGTTACAGAAGAACATAAATTCTAGGCGCGTCCTGTCTCAGGTGCTGAAGGAAGTGCATGCAGCTTTACCAGGAGTCTGCAGAGAAGCGTTAGGACTTCAACAAGTGCAAGAGAAGGAGAAAAACTGTAAGTTTCCATTGATTTCTGTGTCTGCTGCGGCACAGGAGGAGTTTAAGGAAGAAAGCGGCATGATTTTGACTTTTAAAACACCTGAATTGGGGAAGTTTCAGGACATTAGCAAAAAAGCATTATATTCAGTATGTGTCAAAATGTCTCATTGGCATGTTCTGGAAAAAGTCAGGACGTGGAGGTGGTCAGAATTGTTTGGGCCAGACTTTGGTGGATGCTGGAGATCTTTGTACAAATCTCCTATAGAGAAACGTACAGCAGATTTACAGTGGAGACTAATTCATGGTATTATAGCTACGAACAGACACGTGGCACACCTGAATTCAGCAGTTGGGAAAAATTTTCCTTTTTGTGGAATAGAAGAAACTGTGGATCATTTATTTATTCAATGTAGGAGGTTAGGAGGTCTTTTTCGTATTTTAAAAAGTTGGTTTGAAGGCTTTGGTGTAGAATTTTCTTATAAAGTTTTTATTAGTAGTTTGGAATACAATTACCATGAACGAAGAAAATTTTGTTTATTAAATTATTTATTAGGATCAGCAAAGTTAGCAATGTGGAAAACCAGGAAGAACAAATTATTAGGTACTGGTTCAGTCGATGCAGAGTGTGTGTTGAAAGGGTTGGTTGCTGCTCGGATTAAAATTGAGTTTTCATATTTTAAAATGGTTAATAATGTGTTAGAATTTTCAACTATTTGGACTGTGGGAAGAGTTTTGTGTGAAATTGTAGATGAAGTGCTGATTTTACATTTTTAATGTAGAGAAAGTTTTGATTGTTTATATTGTGTTTCTGTATTATAGTGTTATATTTGATGGAATAATTGTGATATAATAAAGGTTTGTTTCTCTCTCTCTCTCTCTCTCTCTCTCTCTCTCTCTCTCTCTCTCTCTCTCTCAACATGCATTTGTCTTCATATACTCGCCCTAAAATGCCATTTTGGAATTAGCAATGAAGCCTTGGGATGCAAAGCATAAGAAATTAGTTCTACACGCAAGAAAGCTATGGGAACAAAAACCTGACAAATATCTTGAAATAAAACATCTGAATAATGTCTTGTGGTGTGGTAAATGTGGTGTATGTGGAATAAATGTAGTGCAGTAAAAATGATTATGTAGTAAAAATGATTATGTAATATATATTGATACTTCATGGAAATAGCATTTAATTGACAGTCAAAAATATTGCTAATGTTGCAAATTAGTATTACTGTTTGAAATATCAGTTACCTTTTAACTGTTATCATCAGTAATAAAGCATCCACGGCTGAATCGCTGCCGTGCTGATATTGAGTGATGTCGCATGACTACGAGTGTGATATTGCGTTTGTATAAAAGTTTGACAGTACAAATGTGTAAATAAATAAGAAACAATCATTCTGTTACAGATTGACTGAGACTGAGTAGTGAATTGTGGGAGAAAGATTCTTTAGGTCAATTAATAAATTCGTGATTTTATTCGTAAATAATTTTGCCATGTCCGTATCTGCTGATGAAAGCGACATCTTTGTCGTAGCATGCTTTTTCAACTAATAATGGGATTTCACATGACGGGCATCAGTGTTGGTCAATGCATTGATCTGAAGTGAAGCGTCAGTGTTTGCCCGGTTGTTTATCAGTTGAGCCTCGTAAGATGATAAAGTTAAAATAAAGTATAAAATAATTTCCATGTTTACAACCTTGTTTCGTTCCTTAATGAATCAGCGTTTTTGAGTGAATGGATACTAACTCACTCATAGGGCGTTTTTGCTTTGGATCCATCTGTTATAGCTTCCGTTTCACGAGAAACAAACGGCGTATTTGAAGATGCCTTTCAAATTGGGAAAGTCTTTGTTGTGCCGCGGTGACACAATCGGTCTTCAAATGCGAAGGATGCAGCCTTGAATTGGGACGCAGCTAATTGTAGTGGGACGCGTGCCTTTTGTCGTTTATTTATATTAAATATTAGTTACTGAACAATGATATGTAATGAACAATAATATTCATTATACAAGAGGTTATGTTAAATTAAAAAAATAGGCCAACTGTGATGAAAAATTTTACACAATTTAAAAATGGAAATAATAGAGTAATGAAAATAATGAAAAGGTTTAGAGTTCATGTTAATTTTACGGAATGTGTATTTCACTCTGTGTGTGTGTGTGTGTGTGTGTTGTTCTTCAGGTCTGGATCGGTTCTGCAGTTTTAATCAGTCTGATCCCTGTTACGCAGCTCTGAGAGACAAACTCAATCTGCTGATGGTGCTGGACACTAGTGAATATGACCTGAAGATCATAAAGAGAATAAACAACAACACAGCAGATG